TACCTTATTATCGAACTTTATTTATGTTATTGTGTTTAAGAATATTACTACTATTACAATCTGTTTATACAATGTAAAATTATGGGAAAACTGTTTTGTTTGTTGTAGATATCATTGACAAAATTACATTTTTCTACGTTTCACTTAAGCGTGCGTTTGTTTTTCTTTTCTATTTTTCTTTCTTTCTTTCTTTCTTTCTTTCTTTTTTCTCTTTTTATTCTCTTTTTATTCTCTTTAATTTATTAATATTATGTATTTATAGTTTATGGTTTAATATTTATACTTCATATAACGGAACGATTTTCTTTTGAATTAATGTAAATGAAAATAGACAGAAAAATATATGTACGCAGTATATATATATATATATATATATATATATATATATATATATATAAATGATCTTTTGAGCCGTAAAAGATATATATACACAAATTATAACGGAACGATTTTCTTTTGAATTAATGTAAATGAAAATAGACAGAAAAATATATGTACGCAGTATATATATATATATATATATATATATATATATATATATATATCAATGATCCTTTGAGCCGTAAAAGATCAATATGCACAATTCGCATCTATTTCTTAACAAAATATTAGAAAATAATTGTAATAATTTAATATTAATATAGTGGTTAAAAGATTTAAAAAAATTTTTTTATCGATTTAATGCTATGTGAAAATTATATGAAATAGTTTTGCATTTCTTTGTAATTTAAAAATAACTCTATGCTATTAAATTTTTATCGTAAATGTTAATGATTTTTATTGACCTATTTAAAATCAATACATTCCATATAATGTAAATATGAAAGTATTCTTGTATAAGAATTCAATAAACATTAAATGCAGATCAATACTAAATGCATTTATAAATATAGTTATGAGAAAGATTTGTTAACATGCTGGAGTATATTCATTCATGAAACTGATTTATTATTACAGATATAAAAATTAAAGGACTTTTAAAGCGTTGTGTCTATAGTATCATTCAATATTTTATTTATGAAGCAAATTTTCAAGTTAATTTATTCAGGCGGAATAAAAAAGAAGGCAATTTAAATGAATAATATGCGCAAAAACGTGTATATGTATATATAAAAGAATGATCAAATGGCTTAAACGCGTTATAAAACTTATATTCATAAATATTTAAGAAAATAATTTAGTGTTAAATGTTGAATAAACATCCATAACGTATATAAATAAAAAATAAAAAACCAAGTTTTCAAGTCGATAGTTCCTTTTCTTTTTATTTCTCGCTTTTTCATTGGATTTATTTATACTATTACAGTATGTTTCTGAAAACAGTGCTTTTAATTTATTTCTTATACGTAGATACGTGATTTTGTAATCGCGCATGTTGTAACTTTCATGAAAGATTTATATTTTTTATTTATAGTATCTATAATTTGTAAAAACTGCACGATACTATACAAGGCATATGTGTACAAGGCACAAAACAATTGTGCCATTAATCATTAACAAAGATTTTATATTCGAGTTTTAATTGCCTCTATCTATTTTAAATACAAAGTTGATGTTTTAAACTTTCGCCAGTTGATTTTAATTTAATTTAGCGACTTATTCGCAAAGCTGTTTAAGTGCACACATTAAAGAACGCCATAGCACAATCTAATTATACGGATTACATTGAGCGTCAATTCATAAGGGAATAGTTTTAAAAAGTGCTGTATCATCGCGTGATCGCGACCGCAGCAAAAATGGAAATGCAATGAAAGAAGGTAAAAAACGGAATCACCGACAGAGTCAAAGTTGATGTATTGAGTGCAAAAAGTCAGGGGTCTGGGACAATAATGACAGCCCTAACCAAGGACTCAGCGTCGCAGAAGAGCAGCGCGATTACAATCGTACGACGTTTTATTGTTCGATCTTCCTCCTACGAGCAGTCGCCGCGCTCGGAAGTATCTTTCTCCAACAGCGCATGTATCACCTCTGTCTGCTAGGTTGCATGAGCGCCCGTGTTTGTGTACGTGCGTTTACGCGCGCGCGAGTGTGTACGCGTGCAATGTTGCATATCGATAAGGTGCGATATAGTGGATAGAGGAGAATAGTAGTTGGTTATTGCTGAATCGTCATATCTCTCTCTCTCTCTCTCTCTCTTACTCACTTACTTTCTTCATCTGTCTCACTCATGCATCAGCTGTTTGGCGACGATACGTTTGCGCGTGCGTACGTTGTCCGCTTTGAATATACCTACGCGTTGCTTTCCCTGCATGACTTCTGGGCGCATTGTACGAATATGTATGAGAGAGAGAGAGAGAGAGAGAGAGAGAGAGAGAGAGAGAGAGAGAGTGAGAGAGTGAGAATGAGTTTCCAACTGCTCAAGAAATACTGCGCAAGCGTATGAGTGAGCAGAGATCGCGAAGCACAACAATGTAAAAGTAATTCTTCAATTATGCATTTCCAATTGCTTGCCCAACGTACGTCGATTTTTCTTTGAGTTTTAAAATCACCTCAACCGTTTGTTACCGCCATTTTATCCGAATACACTGTTAACTCCAAATGGAACTAGTGTAGCAATGATTGTGTTTGGTGTGCTTGTTTTTTTTTTTTTTTTTTTTTTTTTTTTTTTTTTTTTTTTTTTTTTTTTTTTTTTTTTTTTAATTGCTTTTCGAAATATTGTATTGCAACAGTATAGTCGCTACTATACATGAGCCATGCAATCATTTATTATACATACATTTTCAACAAACTTAGATATGCAGGTTAAAAAGGAATTCAACTTAATTTTTCTCGATTATTTTATTAAACTATTTTTATCGCACATCTTTCGTATCTTATAATCGAGATTTTATCATCTTCATATTTAGATTAACCGACACACACACAGTTACGCCGGATCAATTTTTACAAAATCTTGTTTTTTCTCAAATTGTTATTAATATTGATACTACTGTTATTTTTATTAATAAAATAAAATGAAATGAAATGAAATGAAATAATATAACATGACTGACACCAGCACGGCTATACACGACTTTTATAATCGTTCTATTTTACTCAATTATATTAGTTTGCAATTTGAATAATTCTATTACATCAGTTGGCATAAGAAATCGTTTACGATCTCTCTTATACATAATGATTCAGCGAAATAAGATATTTTTACCGATTAGCATTTATATTACAAAGCAATCGACATATAACTCTAGCGTTATTAATTACTACCCGGCTTGCTATTTGTGCATCGATGTCTATTATAAAATAGCGTTAATACTGAATATAATCATCAAGCATTTAAAAATGTAATTATTGTATAAGTGAGTATCGATAGCACGCTCTTAACAATTATCTGGTAAGAAAGAAGGAAGCAGATAAACGCACGCAATTAGGCAGTCGGTTATTTATCCATTTTTACAAAATCACGTCCCAGCGCATAGCGTCAAACGCTTTAATAACGATTGCAAGAGGCGCACAAGGCGATCGCTGTTACAATATGAACGAACCGATTACGCGTCAATGATCGACGGTCAAAAGGCAAAATACAAGGTGATGTCGCGGGGCGCGGAAGCTCATCGGCTTAAATCAAAATATCAATCGCTCGTAAGAGTTTAGCTTTAATGGGATAGGCTATTAGTAACAAAAGACGAACTGTCCAAAGTCACGGACGTAACGAGGCGAAGGATCGGTGAGCGCTCATCGAAGGCGCAATTAAAGAAGCGATCTACTCCGTATGGTAGGGCGAGAGGAGTCGGGGCGGGCGGGATTGGACGTGGCGAGGCGAGGCGCGGCGAGGCGTGGCGAGGCGCGGCGAGGCGGGACGGGGTGGGCTAGGGATAGCGAGCGCGAGAGGGAGATGGAAAACAAAACGCGGAGCGAGCGCGCGCGTTGACAGTAGGAAAAAGAGCAACATGGCCGCCTGCTGATCGCTCGGGCGCTCTTCCTTTGCAAAACTACCTTCCCAGCGCGGCCTCCTCTCTCCACCTCCTCGTCTTTTGTGCCTCAGGGAGAATATTCGACAGCGACGAGTCGCCCAAAGACCTCCCAGCCGCGGATTGACACTTTTTGCGAGGCGCCCAAACGATTTGCATAATTATCGAGAAGCTCGGTTATAGTAGTAGTAGCAGGAGCAGCAACAGTGGCAACAGTAGCAGCAGCACCATCAACAACAACAACAGCTACAACAATAGCTACAACAGCAAAATTAAAATAAACAGGAAAAACAGCAACAACAACAGTAGCAGTAGCAGTAGCAGTAGTAGTAGTAGTAGTAGTAGTAATAGTAGTAGTAGTAGTAGTAGTAATAGTAGTAGTAGTAGTAGTAGTAATAGTAGTAGTAGTAGTAGTAGTAATAGTAGTAGTAGTAGTAGTAGTAATAGTAGTAGTAGTAGTAGTAGTAATAGTAGTAGTAGTAGTAGTAGTAGCAGTAGTAGCAGCAGCAGCGGCGGCGGCGGCGGCGGCGGCGGCGGCGGCGGCGGCGATAACAGCGGCGGCGGCGGTGGTGACCGCGACCGCGACTCCGACTGCGACTGCGACTGCGACTGTGACGGTGACGACGTACACGACGACGACGCAGTCGACGTTGATAACGGCGACGACGACTGCGACGACTACGACGACTACGACGACTACGACGACGAATACGGCGTCGACGAGGAGGACGAGGAGGTCGAGGACGAAAACGTGGACGAAGACGGGGACGGGGACGAGGACGAGGACGAGGACGAGAACGAGGGCTGCGACTTCGAGCACTATTACCAACGCTATAAGGCGAGCTTGTGTTTAGTATCGGATGATCGGCAGTGCGTCTTAACCTCGCCCTCGGCGCGACATTCGAAAAGTGAGCGGTGTGGTGTGTCAGTTAAGTGCGTAGCTCCGCTGTCATCGTCTCTTTCATCGTAAGTGCGCGCGCGAGCTTATTGTCTTTCGCTCTCCCTCAGCCACGATAATACGCCGTCTTGTGCTCCTGTTTTTCTCTTCTCCTCGTAGACCTCCTCGTAGGCACCCGAAGGAAGCCCCCTGTTTGCTTGCCGAGTTGGACTAATACGCGCGCGAGGGAGGCGCGGATTTGCGTCGGCAGCCGTGGCGGAGGTTCGAAGCCAGGGGTCCGAGCGAGACAGTGCTATTGGGACAAAGACAACGGGAGCGAGAGAGCTGGCAACAAAACAAGGCTCGAGCTGAGGTTCACGCGCGAGCGGGACAAAGAGCGAGACACAAACAAACAACGCAGTACCCTTGGATCGGGCGGAGAACCTCATTGCATCGTGGGACGCAACGAGGGACGCAACGAGGGACGCATCGAAGGACACATCGAGGGCGCGTTGTCCAGGTGGACAGCTCAACTCTCTCGATAACAAGGGGGCAAAGGTTATGGCGACAGCTATTCGCGATTGACATTCGGCACTGTCCGGCTCGTGGCGCGTGTGCCTGCATGTGTTGGTGGTGAGTGCGCCCGCGCTCTTTCCTCCTCTTCTCTCCCGTGCGTACGTACGTGCGTGCGTTCGTGCGTGCGTGCGTCGTGCGTGCGTCGTGCGTGCGTGCGTGCGCGTTTGGTCGTTTGTTTGTTGCATTTTGCGCCGAAGTAGTTACCAACGTATAAGTGTCGGTGAGAGGAAGCGAGGCGCTGATACACGACGAGCTCGACAAAGCTGCAGGAAGCAGCAGAGACTCGGGAGTACGGAGAAAGAGGGAGAGGGAGAGGGAGAGGGGGGGGGGGAGGGAGA